TCTATCTCTCTCTCCTGCCTTCTTCTTCCCTACCAGCAATGTCACTTCCAAGATAAGTATACAAAAAAACCCCAAAAACAAAAAGACCCTGTAATCTCCCACTCTCTCTCTCCTATCTCCCTACCCCTTAGCAGCCCTCATTCTGGAGTAAGCAAGCTTCCATGCCGTAAATAGCTCTATGGAGAAGCACATATAGTAAATGTGGTCAATGGCTTGGTAAGCCTGGAAGAAAATCTTTGGCGACTTGAAAGTAGCCTCATGAGTGAACTTTTAAGCACATCCTCCCACATTCAACTTTACAGCCCCAGCAAACACCTTGAGTGCCCTCTTGTGAAAAAAATCTGAACCAAAGCACCTAAGGAAGGTCCTCCCAGATTTCCTAATCGGCAGGAACAATAAGATATACATTTTAATTGTTTTAAGCTACTAGATTTAAAGCTAATTTGTTATGTAGCAGTAGGTAACTAATAGATGAAATCAAAGATGGAAGTCTTTGAGATTATTTGCCCAAAGGAACTCAAGTTCCTCTAATATTGCTTCTGAAATATACAAAGAGATCACTGTGCATTCTGGTCTTTCTCGGTGGAAAAGGGCAAGAAGGAGCAAGTTTTCCTTCATTATGTAGGAATCTCTCAAAATACCCAGGCACTAGACACCTAAGGTGACATGCCCTTTCATTTTTATAAAGACATTTCTTAGATTCTACCAATATGCATTTTACCAAAACATCTGTAAAACCTGTTACTTCCTACTCTGCAGGTCCCAGCTATATGCTGCCATTAATATGGTGGATAAATATGATTTTACACACAATTGAGACACGGTTGAAACCTGAAATGCTTGAAACCCACAGTGGCACTGAGCCAAGAAATTAAGATAATCATGTAGCACCACGATGAAATCCTGCTGAGTCTGCCCAGGTGAGTCCAAATGAATTCTGTTTTTAAATGCTTATTAGAGTAGGGGAGAGAAAATGATCAGCCAGACTAGATGCTGCATCTTGGATTCCAGGCGTCATATTGGTTTATTCTAATAAATATGTTAAATTTAGAATCATAGCTTCAGTTTCTCTCAAGTGATTAAAATTATGATTAACTGTTGTCATTTTCCAAGATTTATCTTTCTGTTTGGTAAAAAATAAGTTGTACAGGTATGTATGTGTACACACACACACATGGTATATTATCATAACCACAATACTTTAGTTAGCTCATTGAAAGAGGATGCAGGTCAATGCACACATATTTATAGGCTTGACCTGATATGAATGAAACAGGAAGTTAACATGCTCAGTATTTTCACTTTTCAAATTATACCTTAGGAAAAATATGTTCCTTATATTTAAAGATCCTTAATATTATATTCTTATTCATAGGAGAGATATAATGGAAACAAACTGTAACTAACAACTGGGAATTAATTGAATTAATTATGGGAAAACCATATGATGTCACCTTTGAAAATATTCTTTTTCAAGAATATGTCATTGTAAACCCAAACTACTATAAGATCTAGGTCAAAAAGTATTATTTACAGCTCTAGAGTGTTATTTGAAAATGCATAAACACTTTTGATGATACTAAAAATGAAATATATTACTTGTTGAGTAAAATATTTAGTATTATTAAATTAAAAGTTGAATATGGTCACAGAAGGCAGCATCTACTATGATTTCCTGCTGGGCTTTGAGGAACCTGGTGTGACTAAGCTAAGGGTTGTATTTGGAATAGTGGAAGATAGGCATGAGCTGGTGGGGCAGCACGTAGTTGTTAACAGCAAAGCACACTATGACCATCAGGTATTCTAGACAATCTTTGACAATACTGTGGGTCCCCTGTTCCCGCCATCTATCTTTAACAGTACTGTGGGTCCCCCTCAACCCTCTGCCATCTCTACCTTCCACTTAAATCTTAGACCCAGCTACTGAGGTGCTTAAAAAAATGATGGAGCTAATTTAATTTATTTGCATATAAAAAGAAAGCATTTCTGTCTATTTAGCTGAAATAATATTCAAAAAGCAAAACTATTTTTGTCTCCTAAGAAATGTTCTGAGAAGGACTTCTTCATTCTTAGTAGAGAAGGATTCAGTAGGTCTGAGGTTATGTTCTAATTCTATTTGTAGTTAGATGCATAAAATGTAAAATTTCTTTTTTTTTTTTTCTTTTGAGACAAGAGTCTCACTCTGTTGCCCTGGGTAGAGTGCCCTAGTGTCTTAGCTCAAAGCAACCTCAAAATCCTCAGCTCAAGTGATCCTTTTACCTCAGTCTCCAGAGTAACTGGGACTACAGGCACCCACCACAATGTCCAGCTAGTTTTTCTATATTTAGTAAAGAGGGTGTCTCACTCTTGCTCAGGCTGGTCTTGGACTCCTGAGATCAGTTGATCCACGTACCTCAGCCTCCTCCCAGAATGCTAGGGTTACAGGCATGAGCCACCGTTTCTAGCCTTGTCAAATTTGTTAATCTCCCACAATGATAGTTTTTTTTTTAACTTATGGTTAAATTTCTGACTATCTGTTAACATTTTAAAAAGGTCAAATAGGATCATATGTGGGAAGTGTTTCATGAGCTTGTGTCAGATATGTGTTTTGTTGCATTATAAAACTGAAAAGAACATTTAAGTTACAAATAATGAGATCTTTTTCTAAAATACACTTTACTGACTACATTTAGGTTTCTAGCAACCAGAGTATGTCTACGTGATACTGAAACAATTTTTTCTTTTCTTTTTGAGACAGAGTCTCAAGCTGTCACCCTGGGTAGAGTGCTATGGCTTCACAGCTCACAGCAACCTCCAACTCCTGGGTTCAAGCGATCCTCTTGCTTCAGTTTTTCTACTTTTTTAGTAGAAACAGGGGTCTTGCTTTTGCTTAGGCTGATCTCAAACTCCTGAGCTCAAGCAATCCATCCACCTCGGCCTCTGAAACTCATTCTTAATTCCCTTTTTAAAAATCAATATCTTCATTCATCATTTAGCCATTAATGAACTAATCATTTGGTATTTCATTTATTCATTAAAATTACTTATGTAGTGTCTACAGAAGGTAATAGAAAATAGTTCCATTTAAAGGACTATTGAGAGATATGTTATGATGGGTTTCTGAAAGAAGATCCAGAAGGAGACGTGGATAGCAAATCAGCTCAGCTGCTAAGTTGCTTCGTATTCTCATAGTTTGTTAGCTGTTTTCTAAAGCTCTTTCCTTAGCTTAAAATGATGAACAACGTTAGCCTGCCTGAGCTCCACGAGGCCTCTCATCTTTGACATTTTTTGAGGTTATACAGCAACGATCACTCAATTTTTGAAATGCCTTTTCCCAAGGTGCTGTATAGCAGCTGCCACTCTGTGCCCTTGGCCATAACCAGGGCCTGGATCTGCTATGGTAAGATACTGGGAGGAGAGAATAGAAGGATGCAGAACTAAGCCCCTCCAAGATGCAGAGCATATTTCTGGTGGAAACCATGTTGATGAAAGGTCAAAGAACAGGAGAGTGAAAGGGAAGTGAGAAATGGAAAAGCAGACAGCTCAGAGTCTCGCTTCCTTAACCTTGAAGGAGAACATAAGGTCCTCGTTAAAACGATCCTTCTTTAATCACCCACACCCTGTTGCATCCAGCTCTCTGTACATGCCAGCACCACCATGTAGCCAGCCTTCTGTGCTTCCCCACGCAGAATTGCTAGCTTCCCACTCACAGATGTTCCCCATCATGCCTCTCCTCCTTCAACACAAGCCTGTTTGCCCAAGGCAGGGAGCCTCAGATCAGTGATGCTCTGAACACAGCATCCAACAGAATCATCTGTCAAGCTTTTTAAACATCCTTATATATGAGCCCAGTCCCCAGATATTCTGATATGGATGGTGTCCTGGAGACTGAATGTTTGACACACACAGGAGGATGCTGATGTCGCTAGCCCTCGGGCTACACTTTGAGAAATGCAACCTCAAATCGACTACCCAAGAGTTCTTGGACTGCATGAGAAAAACCTCAGCTTTTCACAATGTATTTGTAAAATCACTACTTGGGAGTCCTTACCCTCAATGGCAAGATGGTATTTCTATTTTTAAAAACTCCCATTTTTATGGTGCAACTCGTTCTATCCTAAAGTTTTACAAGCTGCTACATAAAAATGCAGCATTATATGCACGTCTATACATAGTTATGCATATATAGAAATAACATACACCCTCCCCGAACTTATATTTATAGGTTAGAAATGTAATATGTATCTAACTATTTATGCAAAAGTGTCTGCCTCTGCTCACATGTGCTATGCATGAGCAATGGAAACTTAATAATATACTTTAGTTGAAGATGGCTTATGTAGATATATAGCGCCCCTTACCTGTCCATAGTGTGCACAAGTATATATTTATATGACTTTGATAGTTACTGTTTATTTGATGTATAATATCCAGCACTTTCTAATTGATTGATATTAATTTAATAATCCATTCTGCTTATTATGTGTGCAGGAAAGAAGAAAGGAACTATGGAAAGAAGAAAGGAAATAGCCCACCAATAGTGTGCCAGGGACTTGGAGAAACTGTATCTTGCTGGTCAAGTAAACCATTGCACTTACCCTACAAAAGCTCCCCTCTCAGTGGTAGAAAGTATGTACGAGAGTACAGACATTTCTTTTGTAGAAGAATGCACTCAACGCTGAAGCAGATAAAGATAAAATTAATTTTGCTTGGGAGTTTGTTGGTGGCCTTACTAAAGTGGTGTATTTTTGTCTAATCTTTAAGGATGTGCAAGTCTTCATGCCAGGCACTATTTCAGGCACAAGAATTCAGTGATGAACAGGACCAAATCTGTGCCCCCGTGGCATTCCACCTCATGGTGCCAAATAAAATAGGGAGGAGATAGCCTAAGAGCAACAATGAGATGTTCCCATTTGTTGCAGGTAAAGAGGAGAATATGGATAAAGGCCTGAGGAAGAGAAAAAAGATGATAAGTTTTTTTTTTTAATGGCTGGGAAATGAACTCGGACCTTCCACGTGACAAAAATTTGGACTGCCTCACAGATTTGCGTGTCATCCTTGTGCAGGGGCTGTGCTAATCTTCTCTGTATTGTTCCAATTTTAGTATATGTGCTCCCAAGCAAGCATAAAAGATACTTTTGAAGGACTAGAAATTGTTCAGTTTTCAGGACACCTGGCCAAGAGATAAATGATGATTTTTATAGCTGAAGATAAAGATTTTTTAAAAATCTTGTACCCTTAGAACAATATGTACCAGTACGTCATAAAGCGTTCACATAGACAGGCACGTGATCAGAGCAGTGGCACGTGAGATGGTGGTGGCTTGGACACAGTAGTAGTGATAAAAATGGAAAGAAGTGCGTGGCTTCAAAATATGTTTTAAAGAACAGTTGACAGGACTAAAATAGGGGAGAAGAGATACTTGGAGAGAAAAATTAGGATTTAATGCAATTGTACATTTGCAATGATGTGGCAAACCTTTGCCAAACTTCTCGGCTACTCAGAGTATGTTACACACATTTCTTTTATGTGGTAACCAGGAGGTTCACTCATAAACATTTCAGTTCTCCTCTTCTGGGGACAGAGTAGGATTCCTGCACTTGGTAACTTTAGGCATGGTCATGTGACCTACTTTTGGTTAAAAAAAAAAAATATATATATATATATTACCTTCAAAAAGAGGTAATATGTGTTACTTCTAGGTGGGAGTTGTAAGAGCCCATCCACAACTAGCCATGACTCTTTTTAATCTTCCTTGGAGATGTCATATAAAGATTGGTCTCCACCAGCCCAAATTCCAGAACATGGCAGATTCATTGAGAGCCTTCCACCTACTTCTTCCCCACTAGTTTTAAACTTAAGCCATTGACGTTTTTGTTATTGCTACAGCATAATTGAAACTATCTGACTGACGTACACCATCTATGTAAGTTCTGACTTTTCATGCCACAAGTCACAAATTTTCCAGCTTTGCTTATAGGTCAGTGAAGTGGATCAGCGAGGTGTTGAGAATCAAATGCACCTGCAGACTATCTAGATCTAGATGAGATCCACATGAAGGAGGAGGTGCTGTTCAGTGTCTGTTAATCATTAGAGTTAGCATCAGGCTCTGTGTCAGCAATGGTGCCCATGGCAAGTGGCGGACCCTGTTGTGGGGCGACCCAGTGACCGTTATGGCAGAGTAATCCAAATCTGAACAAGTTGCTTATTTCTGGCTTTGCAACTTTCATACTTGGTTCTCTAGACCTAAAAAAATAAAATCTCTAGAAAGAGATTATGTGAGCTACATTATATGTTTAATACATTCCTACTGAAGTAGCTGCACTGGGTTCTGTTTGCAATCAGGAATCCACAGGGATAGAGATGCCCACTGCAAAGACTGATGGAAACGCTGAGTGGACAATTACACATACAAGATTAGACTTTGTGTGTGAGATGTCTAAGTTTAGCATTTAGATTATAGACACACTTTTGGAAGAAAGTGTAGATAGAGATAAAGGAGAGTTTAAATTTGAATATTCCAGTAGGTCTGTCAGAGATAAATAAAGATTTCCAAGACAGATTTCTCAGTAAGTCAGGCAAACAGACAAATAGGACAGTAGGCCAAAAGGAAGCCAAGAGGGAAAACAGTATTAACAGAAGCAGTGAGAAGTAAAGTGTGGTCAATGCTGAGTAGGATGAGGAGAGTGTTCTTTGGGTTTGGCAAAATAGAGGTCCGGTGTAGGTTATATTGATGTATGTTTCAAGAGTCATGGTTCCAGAAGCCATATTGGTTGAGGAGAGAATTGGAGCACTTCAAGCAGAGACAGATGTGTGGATGGATTCCTTAGAAGAGATATTCATTACCTATATTTGACATCATCTTTTGCTGTTCAACAATTACAAACTCTCAGCAACAAAAAACAATAAACAATTATTTGTATTTATTTATTACTTGTGCATTTGTGGGACAGATGTGGAAGTTTAATTTAGGAAATAGGTCAACAGAGTTGACTGGGGTGGTTCTCCACCAACGTCTCTTGCTGCAGAAGGCGCTGGAATGGAACTGGCCATTTGGAACATGCTCTTCTGTTGGAGGAGAGGCTGGGATTTCTGTGGGAGAAACGTGCTGCTGCTGGGGCTTAGGCTCAAAAGGGGCTTGCTGTCACGTCTGCCTACAACCAAGTAACTAATAGCAAGTCACATAGCAGAGCCTAATCTCTGGGAAAGTTCCTTGGGGGTGGTGCAAATGACAAATGAACAATAATCTACCACAGATGTAGCCAAGCGGATAATTTTTTTATTTGTTTTCACGTCATATAACTACCAAAGGAAACTGGTATAACCACTTCATTTTTTTTTCCATTTTTTTTCTTTTTTATTGCTGGGGACTCATCCAGGGTACAAAGACCAGGTTATACTGATTGCATTTGTTAGGTAAAGTCTCTCTTATAATTGTGTTCCATCCCCAAGAGATGTGTTATACCTTTGGCACCTGACCCCTCTCTCTCCTTCCGTCTCCCTGCAGCCCCTACCCTCCGCACCCCCACGGTGTACTAGGTAATCAGTTGTCCTCATATCAGAATTGAGTGCATAGGATTCTTTTCTTTCTTTCTTTTTTTTTTTTTTGAACCAGTCATACTGTGTTGCCCTCGGTAGAGTGATGTGGCATCATAGCTCACAGCAACCTCAAAATCATGAGCTTAAGCAACTCTCTTGCCTCAGCTGCTTAAATAGCTGGGACTACAGGCCCTGCCACCAGTCACCCCCTCCAATGCCCAGCTATTTTTTGTTGTTGTCACAGTTGTCATTGTTTTTTAGCTGGTCTGGGCAGGGTTCGAACCTGCCAGCCTGGGTGTATGTAGGGTGGCACCCTACCCATTGAGCTACAGGTTCATTCAGTATGTAGAATTCTTGCTTCTCCATTCTTGTGATGCTTTACTAAGAATAATGTGTTCCACTTCCATGCAGGTTAGTACAAAGGATGTAAAGTCTCTATCTTTTTTAATGGCTGAATAGTATTCCATGGTGTGCATGTACCACAGCTTGTTAATTCATTCCTGGGTTAGTGTGTATTTAGGCTGTTTCCACACTTTGGCAATTATAAATTGAGCTGCGATAAACAGTCTAGTACAAATGTCTTATGATAAAAGGATTTTTTTTTTCTTCTGGGTAGATGCCCAGTAATGGGATTGCAGGATCAAATGGGAGGTCTAATTTGAGTTCTTTGAGGATTTGCCATACTTCCATCCAAAAGAGTTGTATTACTTGCAGTCTCACCAGCAGTGTAGAAGTGTTCCCTTCTCTCCACATACACGTCAATAGCTGCAGTTTTGAGATTTTGTGCTGTGGGACATTCTCACTGGGGTTAGGTGATATCTCAGGGTGGTTTTAATTTTCATTTCTCTGATAATTAGAGATGAAGAGCATTTTTTCATATGTTTGTTAGCCATTCATCTAACTTCTTTAGAGAAGGTTCTATACATTTCTCTTGCCCAGTGATATAAAGGATTGTTGACTCTTTTTATGTTGATTAATTTGAGTTCTCTGTAGACCCTAGTTATTAACTTGACCTTCCTTTTTATTTATTTATGTAAACAAATAAATATAATTATTGTTATGTAACTATCAAAAGTAGACTGAAGACCAGTGTAATCTCAAAATCCTTTGTTGAAGATTGTCCAATCAAACACATTTGGAAGAATTGGAGCAAAATGCATTTTGTTTATCTTCCCATAAAATCTCACATCAGGGCAACATTTCTAAAAATCTGTTCTCAGAAACATCAGTTCCACATGGGTGATAATAGGTGTTAGATGATAAAAAATTTCAGTGGTACAATGAAATTTATAGATACATGAGACTAAACAAAAATAGTTTTGTAAAAAACACACTATTTTAAAAATCGCTTAATATGTAAATGCATATTATGTTTTTCTAGAACATTGAGAGCTAGAATTCCTCAGAACAGAGTTTGAGAAATTAAAGTATAAATAAATTTTTTTTACTCAAGTTTTATGCTTTAAATTTATAGATTCTGAGAAACAAAGACCTTTAGTAGTAAACAATTCACTGGTAAATTTTACCAAAAAACTTTTGTTGGTGTATAGAAATGTGTTAGGAAAAAACTCTGTTAAACTTTGTATTTTTCCTCAGAGATAGATTCAGTCAACACCATCAAACATAGAGTTTTTATCATCGGCACTAGATCTTGTATTGGGAACAAGCCTGAATAAACTATGAGTTCTCCCACCAAAGACATTCTAAGTTATCTTAAGGGGAATTATGCAGGAATAAATATAGTATGAAAGAGTGCTCATCTTCAAAAGGGAGGTAAGTAAAGCCTGTTGGGAGTGTTAGGTCAGGAGTGATCCGTTAGCGGGATGGAGGTGGGTCACCTTTAGCATTGATGGCAGGATTTCACACCATGCTCTGTGACCTCAGCCAGCCCCATCTAGCTTGTAAAGTGGGACTATGCTTTGAAGTGGCTTGGCTGTCTGCCCTGGTGGAAATTCTCATTTCTCCATCAGCCTGTACAGTAAACAAATATATTTTATGTGCTGCTTCTGTGCTTATAGTATCTGTATGAAACATGGCCTTGGGCCTCTTGAAAATGCAATTATAAAATTTTATAGAGGATAATGGTTCCCAGAATGCTGCACCCCATCTTATTCACTCAAACAACTTTTATGCAGTGTATGCAGGTTTGGCAATAATTGACATCTTCTTGTAGAAATGGATCTAACCCCTGACTATTAATTATTTTAAACTATAGAATGAACTGACTAGCTAAAAATATATTCATGCCAGTAGCAGCTTTGTGAAAAAAGAACCACAGTGAGGTTGAGGGGGAAGAGCTGCCCAGGGAAGGCTGACCAGACACCTAGCAAAGCTTCTACCAGATGTATTTTTACATTATAATTTCCCATCCAAGATAATGAGGAATGTCTCCCCATTTAATAAAGTCATATTTTATGTCCTCTAATGGAGTTTTAAAATTTTCTCCAGAGAAATTGTAAAAGTCTTTTTTCAAAATAATTCTTAGATATTTTATAATTGCTGGTTTTATTGCAAATTGTATTTTATTTTAATTTGTTTTCTGCTAGGTATTAGTATAGTATTTATTCTGTGTATTTACTTATTTTTGA